TTTAAGCCCTTTTCAATTGAGCTGAGACCTTCTGTCAAACTTGCAATTGTCATGTGCTTTTCTGGTGCAACTAGGTCTGAACTGCAAGCAATTAACATTCATTCATTAAAAATGTGGCCCTCAAAACAAACCCTAAGTAAACAGTTTTTCAAAACATATCCTGATGACATTTTGACCTTCAGCTTTTAGGAGAATCTACAGCTTTCTAACAGCCTCTCACTATTCCAAGAATGACTAATTGCAGTCTTCCAGTTCCTGATTCTTGATAAACAACACTGGCAATAGTTATAAAACTACCATAAATCTAACAGCGTATAATAACAGTATAATTAATACAGCAAATGGTTTTCGGTCATGATGTTACTAGTGCCGGTAGTAAAATCTATCCATCTCTATTCTACGTTTTGGTTTCGTAACCAAGATCAGAAAACAATCCGTTGATAAACTGCAGTTAGTTGCTCCTTGCTATAAAAGCTTTACTGTAAAGTTATAAAAGTTGTTAAGTAACAACGTAGTAGCATTACGTAACATAAGCTAAAATTTTATGCTTTATTAAACCACTCAGAGAACAACATTGTCTTGTCGTAATAATAAGAATTCTACAGTTTGGGTTTATGAATCACCATGTAACTGTGCACCATGTAACTGTAACTGTGTATAATACTACATAAAAGAACCAGGGAACACCGTATCACTCAAAGAACAGACACCATCCTGACAAGCTGAAGAAAATCAATGACGGCAGATGAGCGTTAACAGCAATCCAAACAAAGCATCCCAGAAACAAGCACAACTTAGGCCTCGAAAAGCAACGAATACTTTGGGAACTGTGTCACATACGACATGGGAAGAACAATTCCCATCCATCGTGATCCGGTGTGTTGGTATTATCACAGAAAAGCTCGATGAAGAGGCGCGGCAACAAGACATTAATCATTATCAATAATCCAGTCCTGCAAAAATTTTAATTGCGACAGTAGATATGAACTCTGTGAGTAACGAGAATCCGTGACCTTGGGGAAACCACCAAAGCAGCAGCAAAGACCAAGCGCTTATATCACGTTTGACGTAAACTAACTGCAGCAGACAAGAACATCTACTCCAATCAAGTTTTTAGAAAATGCATCATGATACATAGGAAAAAACGTAGGCAATGACTATAATCCAACAGGTTAAATGCTTTCTCTTGTATTATGTCATCTTTAAACTATGCTGAAAAACAAAAACCAATGAAGCAAAAATAAGCAAAAACAAACAAATAAATATGTAAGTAAGCAAGCGTGTAAGAAGACAATTAAGAAACCAATGTTACCATGGAAACAAGTACAAGATAAAAGTAACAGCAATAAGTAAGCCGATATTAAGGTAAACGAGAGTAACTACAAAAGACATTTATTACATAAATACGATGGAAACCTATGTACTTAACATATAGGTAATTATGGAAGTAAGGGTGGTAGTCAGTAAAAATGTCAATGAATAAACATCAAGGAGTGAATACGAAATCTAAATGTCTTGTAATGCAATGGCTGAAGGCACGGAGAAGCTTTATAGCTGGTGTAATTCAAAAGAATCAAAACAACAATGCACAAGTTGGAGCACCTGTATTACGAAGTACCTGTATGGTCTTGAGAATTATATTTTCCTCAGCATTATATAATTCGTACACAGTTCATCAGTAATGTCTGAATCCTTCGTTAATTATAGTCGTTAGTTGCCGTTCTCAACTTAATAAGTTGATAATATTAGCAAAAAATTTCACGATTCCACTTTGTGGATCCATACGGCTGGCTGGATCTCCAAGTCTTCCTCCAAAAGTAAGCATTCAGAAAGGAGCTGTGTTCGACCAACAAACATGAAGTTTGTATCAAAATTGGCTTACTATCAGAAGAGAAATCGCGAAATAAAAAAATGTGACAAGAAACAGTACGGAGATTTTATAGGCCGAAGGCAGCTCAATTTACAATACACCAGCAAATATAAGAACCGCAACACGGTAAAATCAGACTGGTAGCCATACTTGAAGACAATCCACGTCAGAAAACGGAGCAAAGCCATTCGCCATTTCGCAGGCACAAATTCCCAGACTGTAAATGTCAGATTTGTAACCGTAACCGGTTAGTTTCTACAATTTATTGAGATGATAACAGAAATGCAACGATCGCAACATCAACCTGTTCCAGTACTTCTGGAGCCAGCCACAACAGATTCGGCTTGAAACTGGGCGAAAATTCATACAACGGCTTCACCCTGCGTCCATGCTGCAAGCAAGAGGTTGCCCACCGTAAGCCAGACAACTTTACAGACTTATCAGATGAGAGTAGAACGTGGCTGCATCGGATGCTTCTAAAAAGTAGCTAAACAATTAGCAGTAAAACTGAAAATTAAGCATAAGAGCAAGGCTGTAAAAAGTCTACTAAAATGATAACATCTAGTACAATGGAAAATATACGTGTTTATGTTCCATGCTGAAGATTCTTTTAATCCTTTTACTCAGTTTCGTAAATAACTACATTTGAAACAAAAAATAAAATATGTTCATTAGTAACGTGATCAACATCGCAATCGCCGTCATCCTTATCAGCAACAAGAGATATTTTATCATCGTCGTGATTCAGTCCGTTGTGCTGTTGATTCATAACTTATTTAGGCACTTATTTGGCGTTGCCAGTGAAAGGAATTTTGATATTCACTCAGAATATTGCAGTTTTGGCACTAAAAGAGCGCGACTGTGACGATTTCTGCTTACTTACTTATGGCAAAGTCTTTCATAATTGTACCTAGTTTCAAGCTCGACTTCTGAAGAATGCGATATGTCTTCAACAACTCATTTCGAGCACACATCTTTGTTCTCAGCATTAAGGTTTTACACCCATAGAAAAATAGTCGGTTTCACGCAAGCCAGTGGTTGCTGTCAAAGCTCGGTGCTGCAATCACTGCTTGGAATCTATATAACTGGATGGTTGTTATATGCATCAAATCTTAACCATTATATTATATATCAATGGGTAGCTCTTAACAAGTGAAATCCGATATGATCGCCAAGCGCAAACTTTTGATTCTGATTTTATCCAAGTGGCTATGCGACGTCATTCGGTCAGCGCGCACTCCTGCAGTCACGAGTTAGAATGCCCATCATTAGCAGACAGCCAGCTGTATCAATTACTTGACTTAATCCTCATTTAGTCTACTAGCGGAAACTCTGCGACTCTCATGTCGCACAACCGCAGGGTTCTGCGATAGCAAATTCAAAACGGTCCCTGTTGCTCCTATCATTCAGACCTGAATTTCAGCTGAAGACTTTACGTCATTGGTGATCCCCGCGTCAATGGATACGAATTTTTGATATACTCCAAATGCTTTTTGTTCAGCCATTTTTACAAAATGTCCTCTCTTTGCTTGTGCTTCTCATCTTAACTTGGTTTTATCTTTCTTATGTTTATTTTCAACCAATATGTCGCATTCGTCTTCAAATCACCGATGAAGTCCAATAATTGCTACATGAACTTTGAACGTAAGCTCATGGAATCTCGAACTGTTTGTTCTGATATTTGTTGGGCATCATCACAGAAGCAACCATTCTAAGGAAAACCGTTTCAGCTGCTTGTGCCGTAGATTACGTTCTTTCGGTCAATATCAAATTCCAGAACACACAAACATGTGATCTATAAATTAAATACAATTACAAAATTGCAAATAAAACAAAATACCTATGGACGACTTCGCGATCGTGAAGATACCTTATCGCTTTCAAAACTTCGTGCAAAATGAATGCGATCATCAGTTCGGGCAAACCGAACGTGAATCGAAAGCGCAACATGTCCGCCACTGAACCTGAAGATCAATGAGAAACGGTTTAAAAATTTATAAGAAACTAGTCAAACAGTGGTGTACCATAATTCATCAGCTGCGTGACGACAAACAGGCGACTGTCGATTGTGAAGCATTCGATCACCTTCAAAATGTTGTTGTGTGACAGCTGGCGCATGACATTCAATTCATGCTAAAAAGCGCGAGCACATTTTGAAAGAAAATTCCCTTTAGTATTTGCATAGGACAGTATTTTATTTTATTAACTGTCTAACGACCAATAACTTTCACCATAAATAAACCAACTTTCAAAACATATGTTCATGTTGGCGGAAGATTCAGCTGCTCTTAGGGGCATTAGGGGCATCCATGCTGGACATCTGAGGTAAAAGTCAGACTAAGTGCGATCAACCATCTACCCATGGTGTATAACAATAAATATTCCTATACCGGATCGGTCTATGCACGGATTATCAAGGGCTGTGCAGCCTGTCGTGGAACTGAGGTAATCCGTGATAAATCGGAGAGAAGAACCTGTTTAACGTCTTTCTGCGCCTGAAAAGGTGGCAGAATGACGACGGGTGCGCAGGCAATAGTCGAAAGAAAAAACAAGGTTGCAATGAGGTGCCACTACATCGCCGTGAATCAGAGCAGGGTTCATCGCAAGATAATACTGGAAGAATGGAAGACGATCCACTCTTTCAATGATGCAAGGGAAGAACGTGTGTGACAGACCATAAACGACTCACTGAGAAGAACATGCTGCCAACAAAAGAACTAGATTAGATCAGAAAAGCGCTTCGAAGTGATAACACTACACAAGAGGGTCAAATAACTTCATACATTAGTGAAATCGTTCCGAACACCTGAGAAGAAATGGCTTTTGTGACAGTATTTGAACGATAAAGAAAAATCGATTCGACATGAGATCCTTCAGGAGCTTGTGAACGGCCTGAACAACATACGAGACGTATCCGTCCTATCCGAGTCAAGAAAGAGCGATGTGAATATATCAGTGATGTTGAAAATGTCCTGAAGACAGTATCAGCCAGTAATTTGGAATCACTCAACGGTACGATAAATGCGACGGCACTCGTGACAAAGAACAAGGAAAATTTACTCTAAGCTGGAAAAAATTCAACAAGAAGAGAAGAGTCACCATAATTAAAAATCTAGGACAATCAGGAAGAAGTACGATGAGAAGTAAATCAACTACAACAACTGCAGAGGGGTAATATAAAAAATCACACAACTGTATATACAAATTATCACTCTGGACAACAAAATTTACATCGGCTGTAAGCTACCGCTGGCAAATAGTTAGCTATTAACTAGTGTAAAAGTAAAATGATCCACTGATTGACATAAGAGCCAACCTATATATCCTACTCCTTCCGAATTTATACCGCGAAAAAGCACCGTTTTTTTTGCACCTAGCAGAGTTTATTTTTACTGATGGTAGAAAATACTAGCAATTTGTTAGTAAGCTAAAGTTAATCATTAAAATTTTGAAACAAAATACTTTTAGCTCCTCCGTGTCGATGGCGTCGTCATCCAAAAAGTACGTCCGAGTGGCGAACAATTCGGAACAATTCTTGCGTTTGGACAAAACCACATCTGCAGATCCATTATACGCTTTGCCTAAACATACTGCTTAATTCAGTAATCACTTGAATAAATGGCCATTTGACTAAGGCTAAAATCAAATAAATCCTCTCTCTTTTGCCCGTGTAAATAAAGGAGACAACGGAAAGAGTTAAGAATGCTGTGGAGAGTAATCTCCTCAAATACTAGCACAGCGGTGAAAACGTTATATGAAACTACATCCGGTAATTGACTAAATGATGCTGATAAAATCCACCATTGAAATCCTTCTCAAGCACTGATGACACGCCCATTGTGGAAACTGTACTACGAATGCGAAAAAACCGGAAAACTGACCGATAACTGCTCAGATATGGTAGACATTCGTCAGCTTCCAACAGCAGCATACTTCATGAAGAGCAATCCATTTTAAAACCCTGAAACTGTAAAAGGTTAAACAGTTGAAAGTTTTAATTCTTGACGGATATTTCCAAGCAGACAACTTCTGGTAATGCACAACATCCAACATTTGGTAGGTATTTCTCAGGTAAATGGCGTGTAATTAGAAAACATAAGATTATGAAGCAGGTATGCTCTGAACAAGAAGTGTTCCTGTGTTTTCGTCCAAAAAAACAAAGAAAACGTTCCTCCTAGTTCAGAGCACACGTCTGACTCAATCCGGTCCTTTTACCTTACCCGGCGTTCTCCTGAGAGCAATGTATCACGTATTGGATGCCGTGCATGACTAGCAATTGTCGGTTTCGAAATACCGGTCAAAAGTTAAAGCACTAAACAGCTTCAGTTGTTTTACCGAACCAGGGGGTTTTATAAAGAAAAAGTAAGAGAAGCACCGGCTACAACGTACTGCTCTGAGACCATCTGTCGAAGAAATAAATGCGTTCTTAGTCATACGCCAAGTGTTTAGACATTCAAACGAATGATTATCATATCCTTTAAAACAAGTAAAAGAAGCCTGAAGAAGTCTTTATGCGACTGTCCTAAATGACATACTCCAGGCAGACGTGATACACACTTTAGATGAGCAGATATCGAATATAGAATATTGATTAAGAATCTCAGTCAGCCTGCCGTTTTGAAAAGCAGCTAAGATAAGATTACAAAGTAACTTGACAACACGAGTTTATAAGAAAGTAAATTTTTTGTAAGCCGTTAGTGAGGTATCATTCCTGGAAAAACGTCTGGTTCGATCCGAAAGGACGGACACTGTTTTCAACGTATTAATGAGACATCATGAAGAGCTGTTCCATCTCAAACAATTCAAGTAAATTTTTTAAAGTGAGTAGGAAGCCTACATTATTTAGTCGATACACCGCGTAAGGCATTAAATAAGCTGGTAGATAAACTGAAATCACACACGAAAAAATGTATTCGTTTTAGGGGCAGGATAAAGATTAGTTTTCGCTGAAGCGCTCTGACAAACGGGTCTTAGCAACATTAACGAAGCATTTGTGGTTCTTCAACTTTGATGTGTAATTCTGATAACGTAATTTTCCAGCTTTTCCAGTTGCAGATAAAACGTTTGGTGGAGGTAAAGTTGCAATCGCTCTCAAGAAATATCAAAGTTACCAAAGTTACATGAAAGTCATCTACACACACATGCTATCCACCAATCCGAAACAAAAATGTGACCACTCGCCACCAAATACACAGAAAAGAATAACAGCTCATACTAGCTTTCCTTTAGACTACCAACAGAAAAACTGTTAACCGAAAAACTAATTTTCTCACCCTCTTACCATCGGCACTTATTATTTAGAGCTAATTTCATCAATTTTGAAGAAACAGTTAACAGCAAGCTATACGGTTATTAACTTAGACTTACCTATGCAAGAATAAAAAACGTAATTACCAACATCCATACGCTCACAACACCACGCCGAGCATCTATACGGAGTGAAACCCGCAAAGTAGAGATTACTGTACAATTTAAAGCGCAATTCTCAAGTTAACAAATATTAATCGACGTACGAAAACCCGATTTCTGTCGTGTTCCCGGGTAAAATTTCAGACAATCAAATTTCATAAACCTTGCCTAGTTAATTTGGTTGCCCGCCATCCAGTAAAGCGGTAGCACTGCTGTGGGCCGTGCCATTAACGCGGTGTGCTGCAGCAACCATAATCGAAATGCGTTTGGTGGCACTACTAGTCGTGGATGTGCTGGGGCGCATTGGATTGATGGAGTTCGTTTCGCACAGCCGCAGTAAGTCCGAATCGTAACATGCTGATATTACGATTTTATTCAATTAGTTTGGTGTCTTTGTTTTTTGCGTAAATTATGATTATATACACTATGATCATTCTTTACTTCAGCTTTCATCTTCATTTTGAAATAAAATCGTTTCAAAAGTCGTTGTTTCAAGTAAATTTCTTTTACCTATTTGCTTAATTTCATTTGCCGCTTAAAATACCATTCAAATTAAAATCCTTGTTCATATGCATGCGCCTGTTCCTGTACTTTCCAAGTGCCAGGTTCTTTGACCTTTAATTTAGACGTTGCTGAATTAGTGATCGCGACGTTAATGATTTAAGCCGATGTTGTTGCACTTTCGACCAGTTGCGCAGGAGAGATCAGTGCGTGTCAGAAACATCGCTCAGTGGTTGTATTTAGCAAATATCATATGCGTCATTTATCATTATCAGATTAACTGATGCGAACAATGAATTTTCAACTGATTTTATTAATGAATGCATATAAAACTGAAGCAGACAGTGACAACAATTCATATAATCATAAGTGATGCAAAAGTGAAAATGTCAACCGCACGAATAAATTCATAGAGCATAAACATATTGCGATACAAATTTATTACAGCTACAGTGATCTACTCCATCGTACGAGAGGTTTTCCATACATCCACTTTATCGAGAACTCGGACTGCTCCATCCAATCTACGCCATACAGCGTACGTCGCTGGTGCCCACTGTCGCAGATCAGCGCCATCATTTTTTTGGGGGGGGGGAAGCATAGGCATAGCGTGTCACATGATGTCCATTACTCCTACAAACAATCATGGCCAACAGAATGAATGAAACACCCTAAGAACGAATACGTGAAATAAGTAAATATTCATGTTAAATAACTGAAAAAAAGAGCATTTAGCTAACTGTTGAATTTAAGCTTTCAAGCGCAGTTGTGTTAAGTACAAACCCCTGTTTTTAAGGATAACTCAGCCCTGGACAGAACAGCTGTATCTGAAATGTCACTGACAAGATTATGCTGCCATCGAAAACAGATGCTCTTTGATAGGTATAAACGCGTAGTAAAATAAGCAATGACGTTCAATGTTCAAAGCGAATGAGAATCGGAAGACGTCTTTGAGAAGACTGCAATCTGCCTTCATTTGCTTGCTTTATATTTAAAAAACCACAGCAAGAAAATTAAATCTTTTATCAGTAAATATAGCCTACTGTTGTGCGTCATGCAATTATAGGATTATAGTTAGGCAACATGAAGATGCTGTTCGGCCTGTTTGCCTGCATGAGGAAAATGAAGGAAGCTCGTGACTGAATAGCGTAGCATGTTATTTCTTGCCTCAGAGCAGATGCAAAGTAATGTCATTAGAAAATAAAACAGTATTGAAATAACTAAAAGGAACCATTTCTTATTTTTCGTTTTTCCGACAATGGAATCAATGGACCTATTAGCCCTAAGTTCTTCATATAAACCTAAAATTTACTACTACGATAGCTGATGGATAGATACAGGTTATGGATATTAATCGACAGGAGCCGTTAAATCAAATCGCTGAACTTTCCTGAAGAAAACAAATGCTTGTTGACAAACAGCGCGCAGCAAAGTTGTCAACTTGTTGCAGCATGCATCCACATAATATAGGCAGTTTGCTTAAATTTAACTGGTCGATATTTTAATACAGAGAGCATAGCACGATTAATTGAGATCGACGTTTTAGATGGAGCGTCATTGACCTGCTACTGGTATTTTGGCTGACTCGCCGAGGCGTGAATTCATTGTTCAGGAATAGTGGCAGTCCGTAAAAGAAAATTCACTTGTCGTGGTGTTTTAATCCACACTGTAATATGTAACGCAATTAACTAATCCATTGCGCCACGGCCCAAAACATAATTGTGCACCAACCGAAATCCATTTTCTCTGATTGAAATTTGATCGGAAGCAATAAAGCAGGGTAAAGAGTGATATCTTTTCAGCTTTCACGTCAAAAATTATTCTGAACCGGGGGGCAGTGAAGTACTTGCTGCTACACCAACAACGCTTCTGTGCAACTTTCGGGCCAGAAAACGGAGAGCAAATAAGCCACGTTGTGAAAATATGATGCTTCTTCCGTTTTTATGCCAGAATTTGCAAGGTCCGTGGTCACGAAAATGGTTTATACATTTGACAGTAGCAGTTTCGTCCGACCTC